CTTTCTGATTAAAGATCTCTCATTTAATGTGATCAAATTGTCGAAAGGACGAAATGGATGTTCTTATTGATAAACTCCCCAGTGAAGCTTAGTAATGCTAATGTAATCAAATTGTCAAAAGGACGAGATGGTTGTTCTTATTGATAAATCCCCCGGTGAAGCTTGGTAATGCAAGCAGATTCATGAATTATGTTTTCTCTGCCTCTGCGCATGTGTTATTTTAACCTTTTCTCAGGTAAAAACAAGAGCGATGCCATTGGCTCTGTCACAAGAAAAATTCAGGTGACATATCTCTTGGTGTTGCTAAGTGGAGTACGAAGCACACCCCATCTCTTGGTGTTGCCAAATGGAGTACGCGACACACCCCATTTTATGTTGCCAAGTGGAGTACGCGGCAGCATAATTTCTCATTTTATGCTGCCAAGTGGAGTACGCGGCAACATAATTTCTCATTTGGTGTTGCCAAGTGGAGTACGCGGCACACCCCATTTCATGTTCGCCGAGTGGAGTACGCGGCAGCATAATTTCTCATTTGGTGTTGCCAAGTGGAGTACGCGGCACACCCCATTTCATGTTCGCCAAGTGGAGTACGCGGCGGCATAATTTCTCATTTGATGTTGCCAAGTGGAGTACGCGGCGGCACGGTTTCTCATTTGGTGTTGCTAAGCGGTGTACGAAGCACACCCCATTTCATGACCCTTTTCGTGATTGCCCAGTGGTATAGGCAATACACCCCATTCTTTCTTCATAACATGCGTTATTTCGCATTTGTAGGAAACTAAAGGTAACAGATAGGCAATCCAGTACCTCGAAAACCTTACTTCCAGTTGACTAGAAGTTTGGAGATCAAGGGAATTGAAAGCATTATAAAGCATTCCGTCACTCGGACGCTTTTTGTGCGATCCGTATCTAAGGCTCTCTCACCGCTCCGCACGAAGTGAGAAGCCTTAGCATACGTTCCTTATTGTTTGCATATCATGCATCATTACATTTAAAAAAAAAATCATTCATCATTTTGCATAGTTTAAATTTAGGTCTCAGTCTTTGAGCGAAACTTCTGCGAGCTTCCACTTAAAGAGGAACAGCTGTTGACACCTAAATTTCGGCGCATCATTTAGTGGTTAATTGCATAGAAAATTAGGGATTAAATTTTAACCCCTAAACAAAAATATTAAAATTGCACAGCATATAGTTTAGGTTCATATAGATTAATTGCATTCCGCATCGGATTGGCGGTGGCAAGCGAGCTTAGAATTCGTCATGTAAATTGAGCTCGGACATCGAACGAGACTCGGCTCACTCGGAAGGCAAGGGCCGAAAATTACAAGTCAGAAGGGCTTGGTTGTCTTAATTTGAGCTTAAATTAGCCCATTATGCTTAATTAAATAAAAGCCCACATTAATTCAGCCCACTTGAAATTAAATGATAATTAAAGCCTAAGCCTAAGCCCATTAGGATTAGAAAGCCCGGCTAATTGACCTAGGTTTACATTATAAATATATCGTTATGTGTCATAATTAAAGGGGGGTCTCAGAATTTTTAGAGAACACACGAGTGAATCACTTGAGAAAAGAGAGAGACTGGTGGAGCCTCTCGCGGCCAAGCCCCTCTCCGCCGTTGCTACTGCCGCCCGACACCATCGCCTTGTGCTACTTCCTCCGTTGATCTGCTAAGCCGGCCACGACGATCGCTGCTGTCCTCTGCCGCTCCCGAGTTGACCCGTGACGCTCGCCACCGCCCTTCGACGTGAGCTGTTGCTTCCCCTGACTCGGGCTCCTGCTGTTGCTGCCCATCGAAGCCATCTAGTCATCGATGATGACAAAGTAGTCACCGTGGAGGCCCCTGCTATACCGATGACACTTGCTGATCCGTGGCCGATCACTTGATACACGCGGAGGGATAGAGGTCAAACAAGTGGAAATTTTAATTGTGGGGCTTGGGAAGTCAAAGTCTTATAATCAAAGGAGACTTGGGCAAATTGGTCTATCTCCTCTGCAAGGACACCCACTTTCACGAAGCAGGGAGAAAAGAGAAAAAGTTCACTTTTTTTTAGTTATTTCTCTCATATTTGGGTTCTATTGCTTGCGGTTCTTCGTCGTCGATTCACCTTGTTTGTGGATGCTGGTTTGTTCGTTGTGCCACCACCGCACCATTGTTCATCAATACTCGACACCAGCTGCACATCCCGGATTTCTGAGAACCTACACTTTGGCCGCAATCAGCGACTACGGAGTCCAGCCGCGCCTCCGCTCGACTAGCCGTAGACCACCATCTCGACGCCGCCGTTCCCGACGCCGCGCCGCCGCTCCCGACGCCGTACCGCCGTTCCCGACGTCGCGCCGTCGTTCCCGACGCACCACCGGTCACCATCCCGATCCGCAATCCCGATCTGCTGCAAATTCAAATTAGGAAAGAAATCTGCAAATCAGGTAATTATCTTTTCCCGATTTGATTCGAATATTTTGTTGCCTAATTTGTGCTTATTGATATCTAATTTTGCATATTCGAGTAATAAGCATTATTCCAATTAGCATTTTATTTCTTTTTTTTTTTTTGAAATCTTGGATATCTGATCTTATCAAATTTGGATAGAATTTAGAATTTTCAAAATCATTTGAATATATCCAAGATATTTGAGATATTTAAATTTTTTCAAGATGTGATCGATTAGGAAAATTTCCTAATCCGCAACCGCACACGTGGAAATAAATCTATCTATCAGGCTTTAGATAGAGTTATTTCCATAACGGGTATTTCGAATTTTAGGATCGATCTGTCAGGTTTCAGATCGAAACTTAATTCGAAAGATTTAGCGGTTATTTTTTTACTCGATTTTAATTTCGAATTTCGATAAAAAAAAATACCAAAAATATCACTCTAGAATAGGTTAATTTCTCTAGTTTAAAATTGCATGTTTAGATAATTGGCATTTTTAATTCCGAATTTCATTAAAAAAAATACAAAAAATAATATGCCCGTCATTAGAAATAGGTCACGTCGTCGCATGACATATAGTTTGCATGTTAGGTTGTATTAATCGCATGTCAATTTTTTGCACGCCATTACATATAGGTTAGCTTTCATTTAAATAAATAAAAAATCAAAAAAAGAAAATTTCTGCACCTTTGAACTCTAAGTCAGGATTTATCAAAATTGTCAAATTGAGTATTTTTCTTGAAATTGGTACCGAAAGGGCGTTAGGGAATCTAGCGTAACGAAGTCCCCGAATTTATAATTTCTGGTTCGCAGAAATAAAATAGTACTCCCGCTATTTTATTTAGGTTTCTAATCAACCTACCTTAAATGATTAGTGGCGACTCCCGTTGAAAATATTTGCATGCTCACAATTGGATCTAAGTTGCGATTTGGTAGAGTTTGGGAGAACTCGAGCTAGATTAGTTAATTTAATTGATCTAGTAATCCATTAGCCTAAGATCGAAAACCCGATTTTTGTTAGGTCGCGACATGGAGGAGCTGAGGATGTGAATTTATAAGCTCACTCCCCACACATTACATGAATGATACTAAGGCTGCGCATAACAACGATTCTGTGCCCATGAACAGATTCTGCTCAGAAATGATTCTTTTTTATTCTGTGCCCGGAATTGATTCTGAGCATTTTAAGGCGTTTGTTAACGGCCCAAAATTCCATCCCTGGAATAGAAAAAGAACAGAAATGCGTTTGGTAACGCCACAAAATTTCTTTTTATTAATAATATTTTCAAATATTTTAATATTTCTTTCTTTTTTTCTTTTCTTTTTTTCTTTTCCTCCTTCTTGGCCATGACCTGCTCGCCGGCCATGACCGGTAAAATATTTTTTTAATAATAATATTTTATTAAAAGTACTTTTTTTTTTGCCATGGCCTGGTCGCCGGCTATGACCGGTAAAATATTTTTTTTATTAATAATATTTTTTATTAAAATATATTTTTTTTTTTGCCATGGCCTGGTTGCCGGCCATAGCCGGTAAAATATTTTTTTTACTAATAATATTTTTTATTAAAATATTTTTATTAAAAATATACATTTTTATTTTTTTGGGCCATGGCCTGGTCACCGGCCATGGCCGGTAAAATAATTTTTTTATTAATAATATTTTTTATTAAAAATATATATATTTTAATTTTTTTGGTCATGGCCTGGTCGTCGGCCATGGCTGGTAAAATATTTTTATTAAAAAAAATATTTTTCTTTTTTTTGGCCATGGCCAGCGACCAGGTCATGGCCGGTAAAATATTTTTTATTTTAATAATATTTTTTTATTAATAATATTTTTTATTAAAATATTTTATTCTCGTCAGATCCGGCGAGGGCGGTCCTCGGGCCGGACATTAGAAGCTACATTAAAAATCAAGAAAATGAAGAAGAAAAAAAAATTGATTCTCAAAATTGTTCCCAGAATCAAGAAACTACTTTTTTTTTATTCTTGAAAACTGATTCTGGGAACAATTTTTGACAAAATTGTGCCCAGAATCAAAAAATTAAATAAATGCATTTCTGTTTTCAAACTGATTCTGGGAACAAAAGAATAGAATCAAATACTGTTTGGCAAATTATCATGCGCAGCCTAAGCTCTATTCACGGAGCAACTCCACCGACTCTCTCCCACAATTGCTGACCTATTTTACAAGATTTTTCTAGTCTATGTTGCTGACATCTTCAAGCCTCTACCTTTGACTAAAGCTTTCCGTCTTCTCCACGCATAGCATAAGCTCCTACAGACTTCAACACTTTGCTTGTGTTTTCTAGACTCTTCTGCACAAATTCATTGCCGCCTAAGACTAGATTTTTTTTTCGTAGGATTTTTCTAAACTTCTCTAGCAAATGCCCATCCTAGAAGTATCTAGAAATTGGATCACAAATTCCAACAATTTCATCACATTAAGTGTGCCATAATTTTGTGGTGCAGCAGGGAGAGAAGAATTAGTTTTCGAACCGAAGAATATACACCCCTTCATCATCGCGCCCTAAACTATGTTACAGCACTCTAAGTTTTCGTCATGAAATACTCAAATCCTGACTCATGCCATCACCATTGCTTCCTTCTTCATGAACCTGACGACTCCTCCTCGTGCAGAGACATGCCACTAGCAAACAAGCTGTGGAAGTGGCGATGGTGAAAGCGTAGAGTGCCCAGAAGCTGTCGAGGCCCAGCCTCGACATCTTGCCGGTGTTGTTCCTCATCGTACACTCCTGAGGAAACCACTTGTCCTCCAACTGTTTAATCTCGCCGCTCTCCGAAAGCTGCAAGATGGCCTGGGAGAATTTCGCTGCCAGCGGAGAGCCTTTCGGGAACACCTGCATGCACAGAGAACAAGGCCATTTGTAACTATATGTCGGCACAGATTCTCTCCTTTTCGCAAACAATAACCCAAAATGAACTATATCATCTGAACCTGTATTCATTTTTTGGGTTCCTCCATGGTTTACATCGGCCATGGACAATGTAATATTTAGTCGTGAACTTTAGAGGTCAAATGCATCGCACTTGCTGCTAACCGGTGATTTGGACAGGTACTATGCTTCTGCGACTTGGTGGGTTTGATAATATTGCACTATGTCCCACTAGTAAGCTTGTCCCTATTCTTTCGTACCATTTTCATGGGTCCAAACTCGAAACACATGGATCAGGTGAAGTCCCTAAGAAGACCCCCCAAGTTCTGGCATCACAATCTATATCTTACTCTACTGGGAGTTGGATACTCATGCCCCTTATTCTTTGTGGGCTAGCTTAAGGAGATGCTATGCACAAACATAGGATGCTATAAAATACTCTGAAAATTCGAGTTTATGTAGAATAACGGCAGATACTTACAAAGCCAAAACCGCCAAATCTGTAGTTCTCACGAGTGACAGCATATCCATAGCAATACTTGGCGAGGAAGGCTCTCTCATACGGGTATTCCAGAAAAATAGCAGCAATGTTACCGCTTGTGAGTTGATCTCCGTAGCTTGAGCTGTTCCTTAGACCGATGATAATGTCCTTTGAGAAATTAAGTTTTTTATTTAGATAGTCACAGACGAAAGATACAGCGTCACAACCCACTCTTGCTTTGGAAATTCTAAGCCTTTCCATGGTGGTCACGGTCGGTTTAAGTTCTTGAAGAGTGAGCATTGAAGTGAGGCTAGCTGTGTAACTCTGTGTTGAGATCAATGCGACGAAGAACCAAATCACCAATACGATCCGCGTGAAGTTGTGGTTGATTCTCTCCCCTGCAAAGGTAATAACTTACTTGCTTCCTTTTTTCTTTTCGTTTGAAAGATTGGGCTGAAAAGAGTGTACATGGACTATAATCAACAGTGGGAAGTTACTTACTGTGAGCAAAGAAGAGAGATGAGCAAGTGAACCAAAGAGCGGTCGAGAGCTGATTAGTCCGAGAGCCTCTGAACGCTGGATTGGTCGGATGTTCCAGGAACCAAACTACTAACATTGTGTATATAAGGATGCCTCCAGAAGCAACCCACATGGTTGGAGTGAAAGGCTTGATGAATATTAATGCCCTGTCTGAGTCTGGTTTTGCTGGAACTATCATTGAAAGCTCTGACTCTATAAATGGGTGTGTGAACTCGACGTACTGTGAGCGATTAGCTAGAATAGTTATATCACCAACTGCAGCGTCGTAGGTCTTCCATCAATGTCACACCATGAGCAACATTAAAATGATGCATTTTAGTAATTAACACCAAAATTACACCATCATCCAAGCAAAACATTACTACTAAAATGTTGAGACCTTGACGGTCTATGGATGCAAAGTGATACAATCTTGTGAGTTGTGAGTCCCCTAGTGATCAATGTAGCGAACAAGGATCTGCGTGAAATAAACCTGTTGGTTGTTGTAATGTGCACATGCTTTGCTGGTATGTGTATAGGAGAAATTAGTACTAGTGGATATTCTAAAATGCAGTGAATAATCATTGAGGAACAGAGATGATGATGTGGTACCTTGTCATAAACTTTGTTAACCAAGTCCTCGTATGTTCCTTCATGAGGTAAAAATGTATAATTCAAGCCATGAGGACTCGCCTTCTTGAAAATATCTATGCAAAACCCAACGTACGTTGCCTTGCCAGTTATGTTATCCGTTTCCTCCTTCACAAATTTACCAAAGGGAGTTGTACGAGGAATTCCAATCACCATTTGCGGGCTGTATCTTCTGTTGGTCTTCGATGTGTCTGAATTTGCATAAGCACTTGTTCTTTGACTTTGTTTCTGTAGAAAGCTCCTCGAAAAACCGAAGTTGGGAGACCAAAGCTGAAGATCTCTAATTTCATTTCCATTGACACTTACAATTTGGAATTTGGCTTGACCTGTCAACTGACCTTTCTCAAATTGTATTACCCCGCTCAAACCAACAAGTCGAACCCTCGATATTCTGGCAAGCAATAACTCAGGGGTAATGTCATTAGTTGGGAACGCATCTATGGCCTTTTTTACTGTCATGAGGCAATCGTATGCTCGACTAACATCTATGCTTTTCTCAAAATTGAAGGTCTCTCCTTGCTTTTGATGGAACTTATTCATGAATTTGCTCTTGAAATCTCCGGACGCGTGGTTTTCAGGACGGTAGGTGACTAATCCTATTGCGCCTTCCATGGTGGTTGAGATTATTGAATGTTCTACTGAAGCTAAGAGATTGTTGAATGGTTTTTCAGCAAATATCCATATTGAATTTCCGTTGAAGAGTCCTATCTTCTTTGCATCTTTGAGAAAATGGCCACTTGCACGAGATGATAACCCTAGGACAATAAATATTGGGGATGCCTTGCCCTTCAGTTTCGCTAATTTCTCTTCAAAAAACTTTCCCACCCTCGCCGAAGATGAAAATGCTCGAAGAATTACCCGGTCCTCTATCTTGGAGCCAATCTTGTCAAGTTCTTCCGATAAAGAATTTAACAGCTCAGAGTAGCTAGTATCATATGCCTCAGCTTCATATATTATTGAGACTCTTCGTCTGTTATGAGAACTAACTATATCTGTGATGCATCTAATTTGGTCGGATACGTCGGTACTCATGCGAAACAGTGAGGGCCATATAGTTTGCGCCAATAATGTTGGCGGTATGTGGTTTGCCGCAAAGGATATCACTGGTACCTGAGATTGATTAGCGATCACGGCAACTAAAGTTGCTTCCTGCCATGTCTCTAAGCCAATAATAACTCGCACCTTCTTCCTTATCAGCTTTTCAGCTGTTAGAAAGAGTAAGAAGTAAAATAAAAGTTCAAGGATTCAAGGTAATGTTCATCACCGGTTTCTTCTATTTATATCACTTATTAAGCCCTATTCTTGGAAGATATCATTGCAGCGACATGATCATTAAGAGATCTATGTATACAAGGAATAACGTTCATCCCGTTAAACAATTGCTCACAGAAGCTTAAGCTCTCAATTAAGACAGATCTGCATTGCTCTAAATGTGGCCTTTATGTTGAACTTTTTAAGATCATTGCTGCTTGACATTTTTTATGAACATGCATAATAAAACTTGAAACACTTCAAAGGCACCAATACTATATGAATCAGTTTCCAAGTTTTATAATGAGATTATTTCGTTATGCTAATCTCTCAAAGGTGTGGAGTGACTTTTAACTTGTAAATTTTTACTTTTATTAGAAAATTCAACGCAAAAAATTAAACTAGTATGTGGAGGAAGGCTACAAATATATAAGGTCTATATAAAAATCAAAGCAATGTGTGATTTTTTAACACCTCTTTTCAAGTACGTGCAAACTAAATTATAAGGACGGCACATGGAATTGCCAAACAAGGAACCTCACACCCACAATAATCTTTGGAGAAATCTCGCTCCGATACCATATTAGAAAGTCAGGAAAATTGTCCTAAAAGTCATAAACTTATTACGCATTTGCCAATTCAATCCTAAACCTTTTAATTGTGATAATTGAGTCCTAAACATTTTCACATTTTGCCAATTGAGTCCATCCGTCCAATTTTAACTGAAAATAGCTGATTTGGACGTAGGCTAGCCTACATGACACGGCTGGCATTGACATTTCAAAAAAAAATTATTTTTTTGTTTTCTTTTTCCTTTTATTTTATGTTCTTTTCTTTTCTTTGTTTATCTTTAAGCCTTTGGCCAGCGACCTACTAGCTGACCATCATTGGATGAGGCCGCAGAGGCCCTTGCCTGGATCTAAGCAAGGGTGTCGAGCCCTTGCTTGTGGGCTGCAAGTGCACGATGCCCTTGCCCAACCCAAGCAAGGGTCACTGGCCCTCACTAGTGGCCGGTGAAGTCATCAGCCAAAGGTTTAGAAAACGAAAAAGAAAAAAAAAGAAAAAATTTTAAAAATAAAAAAGATGTTAAAATATTTATAAAAATTGCCTAAGTCAACACTGGCCATATCACGTAGGACAGCTGGCATCCACGTTAGGGATTTCCGGCCAAATTTGGCCAAATGGACTTAATTGGCAAAATATGAAAAGGTTTAGGACTCAATTTTTTTTACAAAGGTTTAAGACTCAATTAGCACTATTAAAAGTTTTAGGATAGAATTAGCAAAAATGCAATAGGTTTAAGATTTTTTGAATAATTTTCCCTTGGAAAGTCCAATCCAAAAAATTAAATTATGGCCTATATAAGACTCGTAAACAATTGATGAAGACATTTAACAAATTTTCTAGTCTTGCGGTGCACGCACTAGACTTTCTTTCAATCTTAATCACTTGAAAATTTTGCACTATTTAAACGTTGACACATAAATTGACATAAAATATGTTCGCAATGTTTTAACATTTGAATAATTTGAAGTCTTGACCGGATAGTCAAAAATACTTTTGGCTCTTTAGAAGTCAATACAAACAAACTAGGGCTTTCTATATGGTCTTCATATGTAAGTCCTCTGCTTATCAGCAGCGAAAAGCTCATTTTTCTGCATGGAATATGGACAAGAAGAATACGCCTTGTGAATTTAAGGAAAATATTACTAGTTAACCGAATTTTTCGTAGAATGACCTAACAAGATATTGGATGTCTTATACACTCACCTGGACAAACTAAGGGTGTCATTTTGTATAGCCATGGTCCGTGGCTTTTAGTTTTGACTTTTTTTCCAATTTTACGGTACGCACACTTCGAAATTTTTTATGCAACATACGTTGAAACTTTTAGAAACAATTTTATATTGACACGTAGATTTACCTATAATTTTTTTCAGGGTTGTTTTTTTAAAATTTCAACAATACTTTGAATATTGACGGGAAAGTAATTAGTACTGGGCAAACAGAAACTTTGTGTGAATGACTAACCTGCCGAAATTGCTCCAAGAGGGTTTGCGTGAGAGTTCACATAATGTGGCTTTATGTAATAACTTCCTGATGAGATGTTGTTGACGTCTTGGCATGCTATTTCTATTGCCATGCGCATTTGGTCCCCGAGACTTGAGTCCAGATTGAGAATCACGCCGACTTTGAATGTTTTCCTGCGACCTATGCCTTCCGTTGCCACCCCGGAGATGCTAGGGAGGAGGAGCAACGAGAGCAAGAGAAAGAGCTTCGAGATGGCCAAAATGGGTCTTGTACTGCTTCTGCTTAATGAGCTTCGAAGAGATCCCATATTGCTTTGTGTTTGTCATATACAGAAGCCAATTCGCAGTTCCTACGTATTTATAGTCGAGAGAGAGAGAGAGAGAGAGAGTACAATAAGTAGGTGCTACGAAGTGATTTTCCAAGAAAAGAATGAGAAAATGGCCGCGTGCAACATACGGGAAAGGAAAGGTCAAGTCGATTTGGTCTTTCTTGGACTGATGAGAAGACTGGACTAAATGACAGTACTCCGAGGGCAGGAGAGGGAAGAGTAGTTTTACATGCTTGATGATGTCAGGATTTGAGCGTGTCCCATTACAAGGTATTGTCCGCTTTGGCTTCTGAGCCTCAAAGTGCTCTCGTGAGGTGAGGGATGAGTCTGCTTAGAAGTTATAACCATCCTTTTGATCAGAGGATTGCATTCAGGGACAGTTAAGTTACCCGTTGATGGAGAGTAAAGGCTCGCCGCTTCTCTCACGAGGGCCCTTCGAGGCCCACTGACCAAAGCAAATAATCCCTTATATCAATGATTCTGATCTGAATCTAAACTTTCATGTATGGTGAGATCATCTGAAAGATCAACAGAAGAACCACGTGAAATTTATTATATTAATAATTCAAATTTAGTTTAGTATATATGATAAATTCGTGCTGTAATTTCGTGTAACGGAAAGGCTACTGGCCAGAGGTGGCCCTCCACCTACTCATTTTATTCTTTTTCTACATTGTAGGAAATTTTTATAACCATATTTTCTATAAGCTTGAAAAATGAAATTTTGTGGCATTGTAGGCTTTGTATGTCACTACCTTTCCAAATATCGAACCAAGGGCTTCCTTTGGATTATTGGTGTTCGGTTAAGAGTTAACATTACCAAAGGAAGAAAGCCAAAGCTCTTACAAGGGCCTCCGTGGCCTATCCTTATTCTATGGGACGGACTCCATTGATGCGTTTCTTATTTTAACGCATTGGTGTCCGCGAACCCCGCACCCCTAATTCCCCTTATCTTTATTTTCCCGAGGAGAAGGGAATACCATCTAAAGTTTTATATCCCGATAATCCCGAGATCCAAATGATGATCGAGATAAAGCCTTTTAAGGACATGCTTAGGTCCATCTTTCAAAATATAGATGACCGGAGGAACAATTTTATTTTATGAAGGAAAACCCATGCCAATGAAAAGCCCAACTAATTCAAATTAAACTTGGTGAAATAAATTTTAACCTCACATTGAGATTGAGAAAGCATTATAATACAGATAAATGTATAATGGAACAAATTTTAATGTTCCATTGTATGTATTTTGAATGATTGATCGATATTGTAACGTGGGTCCTTCAAGATTTGACTTCTAAATCCACCCTGCAGAGGGGAAAATGCGAGTACACCCCGGATGTTAACATACATTTAAATGATCAAATACTCGATGCATTTCACTTAGATCCCCATGAAATTTGTGAGATTTTGCGGGACCACAGCCAACTGTTCTAAAAACTTAAGTTGTTAGATGAATGCGTGATTTAATATTTAATTACTCTAATATTCCTCTTCATGCTTAGTCTGGTCTTTTTTGCCTAGTACTAAGCGTGGCCATATTTAATTGTGGAAGCAATTAGGGTTTGGAAAGATTTGAACTCATGACTTCCAGCTCTAATACCTTGTGAGAACAGTTGGCTGAGGTCCTACAAAATCTCACAATATCTGACTGTCCAAATGCGTTTGAATGCATATATTCCGCTCACTTGGTAATTTACAATTACATGAAGCTTCCAAATTCTCGTGGACTTTGAGGATAGACCAAGTAGTTGTTTGATTTTCTGACCGTAAGATCCCATTGCCCTCAAATTTTCAAAGTACACGGAGTCTCTCTATCCTAGAGCTTCGTTCACGCTAAAATGATTTGGTTGCGAGTTTTCAAAGATGTCCCTATTATACAGGAGGATAGCGGGTTGATGCTATATTTTTAAATTCATTGGTCAGTCGTGTCAATTCATATCTCTTGTATATTAAAGTAGATAGATTGACTAACCATCGACTCCACTAAAAATAGAGTCTTTCTCTTTGAAATGTGTTCTCAAATGTAGACTCTTGTTTTCCTTTTTGTTTTTTTTTTGAAGCCTTTTGAATTCGGTTAGCAGGAGCACTTGTTAAAACACCTCGGCAAAGAAAATTTGCCATTTCTAATCCACTTTCTTTCTCATATTATTTATAGCAGTGAATTGATAATGAAAATATTTCTTGATTAAGCATGGTCAATTAGTGCCTCGAGCACACTTGTTATCAAGAACATTTTCATTTTTTATGTAAACATCTTTAAAAATATGATTGACAATTGTGGGATACTAATAAGGGGTAGTGACACCAGAATTCTTTGTAAATTTCCTCATTGTTCAATTGCATCCCTAAACCTTTTTTTTTTTGTTCAATGTCAACCCTTATTTTTTAAAATTTCGCTCAAAGTGGTCCTTCCATTAAATATTTAATGTAATTTGCTGGCGTAGCCTTTGTAGTAATTGACGTATCACTTTCGTCCATGAACTTTATTTGTTTGTTCGATTTCGTTTTTTTTTAAATTATTTTTTGGTTCTTTCTATCTAACAGTGTCCGCTTAAGCATGATGGAGGTCATCAAATATTTTTAAGATAAACATCGTTGACCCTTATCTAGAACTAGTAATATTTGACACAAACCCTTTACAAGACATGCACGCTAGACGAGTTAATGTGTTCGTATATAAGTTTCACTGTGATGCATAAAAGAACATGTCGGGTTTGATATGACCCTTTTACCCATTTATAACACACTCGGATTTATTTGGTTAAGCAATCTAATTTATTCCTTGTGTTAACACGGGATAGCCTTATCGTTCGTATATGCGTAGGGTTGCGTAACGTTAATGATTAGTTCCTCACCCTCAGACAACGGTAGGTCAATCACCAATTCATCTTCGTGGCATCCTCCAACGGTGGACAATCGATAATTAGAGGGCGTACCTCATCAGTTTTGACGTCTAAAGCAGCGCATTCGTCAGCCAACAAATCAATAACAACCGGGGTGACCCTCGAGACTATGCCAATGTGGTCTGCGTGGACAATACTTTCAGTATCGGCCATTGCTTTAACTCTTTCTAGTCTCTGTGACGCAGTGGGCCTCTTGGCTTTCCGAGTAACATCCAACTTTGACTGACCCTTGATGGACATCATCTGCATACACCCTTAGGCTCCCTTTCTTACTAGCATTGAAGCTAAAGATAGCACTTACCTCTTCTGGATGATCAAGTAATGGGTTTTTCTGGACGTTCGGTTGAGCATTACAAAAAGAGAACATCTTGGCATCTAGGATGTCACGCCCTGTACCCTACGAAGCGCTAACATCCCTACCTTGGTCGATTGCAGTGCGACGTCCCAGGAAGTATCGCCGACCCAACGCCCAACAGAGAACAAGCACAAGCAGAAGCAATTAAATAAACAACCCTGACAATTATAAAATACGAGCCAAGGATAGCCAAGCAATAAACACGATAGAAAACCTTTTTACAATACCTATCAAACACAAAAGCGAGCAGTACAAACAGTCAACAGCCACTGGGTCAAAAGGGTAAGTGGCTAGGGTGCTCTTAGGGATCCCAGTCAGGATCTGAGGATTCCGAGGATTCATCCGACTGCTCCTCTGACTCCATATCTGCTGCTCCGTCTCCACAGGGGTGCATGCTCAACGATCGCTGAATGCGATGCGGTATCCCAGAAAGAGGTGGTGACCTCGGCATTCTACGGCTGGGGGTCTGAAATGTTTCGGTTTACACAACCGTGAGACGAATCTCAGTGAGTTCAACCCCTAAACCTAGGCTAGGCTAGCATGCAATTTCCTGACCGGAAATAAACACTCAAAGTATAACATAACAATAATCACATAAGTTTCTGACCCTGCAGGTTAGATAGTTCAACATATAATAATCACGGCACATACGTGACACACATAGTCACACGTATGCTAAACACATGCTCCTGCACCGAGTCTCACACACTCGCATGCTAATCCATGCATTCTTATGCATGCAAATGTCGTCAGCATGTCATATGCATTTTCCGGCCCACTGGCCCACACTGGCAATCGCTCAATTTAGTAATATTTATTACGACTCGAGTCAACAATATTCACGGCCCGGTGCGTCTAGCCTGCTTCAAAGTGCATGAGGTGCAGCACCGATCTAGCCCAGTGTCTCTAGCCTGCTTCAAAGTGCATGAGGCGCAACACTAATCTCCTTACGAACCAGAGCCTGCTTCAAAGTGCATGAGGATGGTCGTCTTCCGGACGTACCGGGCATCGTCCTGCTTCAAAGTGCATGAGGACGGTATCGACCCGAAGGTCACGACCCGAAGGCCCTTAGGTGATCACACAACCCATTATTATCTGAACCCCGCGTAACACGCATCAGGGTATTTTAGGTGATAACATGCTCATGATAGGCACGCAGTCTCACACAATTTCATCACAAGCCTCATTCTCGACATTCATAATGCGTGCCATGAAATGCAATATGAGCATCCACATAACATAGGCACATGCACACAGTTCAATCAAAGTCATTCCACAGTGCCTAATTCACAAGCCACGTGCTTACTTGGCCTATTAATACCGTGCGGCCCAATTCCAAATACACAATTCAAGCCATCAATTGGCCAATCACACTTCGCACGATTCAGCCACACAAGCACGCAATATAGCATTTCGCAATTAAACACAATTGATCACCAATCAACCAACAGCCAATCATTATGGGTAATCCCGGCCATTCAGCTAATAATTCTTGCTATCCATTATAATCCGGTACATTCCTCAAAAATATGGACAGCCGCTATTTCCTCAATCCGGGCCCAATATTTGTCCATAATAATCCCACTAAATTCCTTGGATTTTATTTCCACTAATCAGTCCTCAATCCAGTCCGAATTATACATCGATAATACCTAAACCAGTCCAGAAAAACGCACTATCAGTCCTAATCCGGGTTTAGGAATTTTACTCACTTAATC